TTTATCTCTGCTCTGCATCCTGTGATCTTACCAGTTTTATTACACGTTTTTATATGTCACATAGTATTACATCTGCCCAAGCATTATATGTTCTAACAGCATCACATGAATGCATTATTAGTACTCTACTTAGCAGTCTGTGAGTATGTTCTGTGTATTTTAAGTGTGTTGTTATGTGTATTATGTCTTACATTTTTATGCCACCTCCACCCCCCCTTTTTTTTTTTTTTAAGATTTCCTGTAACAACCACTGTAATCCTAAAACTTTCAAATGTCATACACATCACTTGTAATGTAGACTATGTCAACCGCCCTTGTATGGCCATGTAACTTTCTCATTAAGATTCAAATATACTCCCGAGGCAGCCTGATGAGGCTCCAGGGAGTTGTTGCCACTAGATAGTGGAGGACGCGGGGCATATGCCTGTTTACCTATGTTATTAAACATCAGGCGCCCTCGTCCTCCGTCACCTGTCACCTGCAGAACAACTTCATAAAAAAAGTTATTACGTATAACTAAATTACAATGAAATAAGCAGTATCTCTTAATACAAATATTAATTATCCTAATAAATAAATTAACCAACTTCCCTTTGCAAAATCTTAAGAACTCAAATGGTATAATGAAGGTTAAGAATTTTGTTTCCTAAAAAAATCACTCAAAACTTTTCAGTATCTTAAAAACAGTGAAATGAGCAATAAATAACATAAAAGAATACAAAAAATTCTGAAAAGTAAAGTACAATTAATGATATTTTATCTTAATTTTTCAAGAGAAAAAAATTACAATGCAATAAACTATATCCCTTAATACAAATATTAATTATCCTAATAAAAAATTAACCAACTTTCCGTTGAAGAAAAAAAATCATGCAAAACTTTCCAATATCTTACAAACAGTGAAATATGCAAAAAATAACATGAAAGCAACTCAAAAACCATAAAATTCCGCGCAGAATTTTATTTTACAGAACAACTTTATAAAAAAAATCAATAAAAAGGTATTATATATATATATATAAATGACAATGAAATATGCCAATCTCTTAAAAACAGTGACATAAGAAATGCGATGAAAAATTGTTGCCAAACCCATATTTCTAAAAGAATGAAACCATTCAAAATGATACGATTTCATCAAAAATCTATCAACAACAATAAGACAGGAAAATTGTTGCCAAAATCACATTTTTAAAGATGAGAGATGTGAGAAGTGTACTCGGAAGCTTCATTTAAATTTTTTTTCTAAAATACAAAATATTATCATTTTTCCAAAATTCTTTTTGTAAAAGCATTCGCAAGGATGAAAGTTTAACGTGTCCAAAAATCAAAGAAAAATAAACTGTACATTTTTTAAAATAAACATTTTTAGAAAAAAATCCCTCATGACGATGTGAAAATGGAGTGTGTAGAGTAAAATCTCGCTTTTCTATAGCCCATTTTGTCTCAAAATGACGCGATTTCGTCACAAAACGTAAAATAATAATAAAAAAAATTTATAATTCTAATTTGGAAAAAATCGCTTCGAGGTGCACTGACTCTTGTCTAGATGCACCTATGTACCAAATTTCGTAGCTGTGGGTCTATTAGCATACGCGCAGCGTGAACGAAAGACACACACACACACAGACAGACTCTTTCTTTTATTATATGTAGAGATAACAGAACTTGTTGTTAATTTGTAATGTATTGCCATGCTGATTTCAGGTATTAAACTGTCACTATATTTTGCTGAGTGATAATTTACAAATGTAGACGGCAATTCTTGTGATGCATTTTTAATTTTAAAACAAAAAATTACAATAAGAAACATCATCTGCTGAAATATTTCAAAAAAACCTTTCGAGTATCCAAATTATTATGGGAATCATTTTGCAGCATGTTTTGAGTTAATTATTTATTGCAAGGAATATTTTGATGATATTTATTTTAAAAGAAGCAAGGCTCAAAATAATAAAAAAATACACATTTAAAAAAAGAATTGAAATCTGTGTTTCAATATTCAGTAGGAGATCTCCGAAAATACATTTGAAATTATTGTAAAGGCATTAGTTAAAGTAGGAAACGCGAAAAATGAGCAATGCCTTCGCCGGGACTCGAACCTGGACCTCTCGAATACTCGCCGAGTGTGCTATCGTTACACCACGAAGGCATACAGATAGGACGGAGAAAGTACCTTATAGTACAAGTGTCCGAAAACAAACGTGAGTTACTGTAATATAGGAAAAATAAAACTATATACTGCAATCCTTAACATTCTATCTGGAATTTTAAAGATATGCTGTTTTTAAATATTTTGTGATATTGATCTTCAGCGCTCTCGAACAGAGCACCACCTAGCAGCATACGATGACGTTTCCGCTCATGGGTTGTCATGCAGTTCTCAATTCTTATGATATGCCTTACCGTTCCTAAAAGTTTGTCGTTACATTTTTGAGACATCCTGTATATAGAGCTGCATATCACTTCTGGAAGCTTTCCAGGGATCCGAAAATGCATTTCCCGGAATTTCTCAGAATTCCGCCAATTTTCCAAACATTGCCAAATATCGCCAAATGTCACCAACTTGGAGATCAAAACTTTGCCGTTAACCCATTGTTGCATACAAATAATCTAGAGAAGTTAAACGAAAATGTTTGTATTTTTTCTACTTAAAATAACCTTAGTAATAATAAGAGAAATTAATTTTATTCAAATTTCGTTTTAAATAATTGCTACAGTTTGTTCACTACAGTGGACAGCATGCTTGAAACGTACATGCATACAAATCTCTTCCCAATGATTTACGGCTATTGCATTTGAAATCATTTCCTGCCTTGTTTGCAGTGATCATTACCATCTTCTAAATGGTAAATCTATCAGGTTCTATGTTCCTTCTTACCTTCTTCGGGAACATACAAGGACCTGACTCGGAACAGAGAGCTTACTAAAGCTATGTTCACTAATTGTGGTAAGTAGACAGGATACAGACGAAGGGTATACAAAACCCTTTATTTTTCCCTATATACAATAACTTCCGTACTTCGGAATACACTGACCCGCCACTTGGGGTCTAACGTAAAAGTATAAAAATAAAACTAAACTCTAATTTACCTTTAGAATAATAAACGTGGAAGATTGGCCTTATAATAACAGGAAGCGTATGTAGCACAGAGACTGTGAACACTACAATACGTTTGAATTTTATCAAGAGGATTAAAACCTCTGGCCTGGAAGGCAAGCAGCAACTGCGTAACTTCTAAGGTAAGCGGCCTGCTTTGACTCACTGCTTCCTATCTCTCGCTTGGCAAAAGGCCACACTTAAATACTTGGCGTTCGCCAGACAAACTTTGCATAAAAACCTTAACGCTTATAATTCTGGCCGGAAGTAGAAAATAAGAAGTGATAGTAAAGATTTAAAATAAAATAAACGTTAGTAAAACTTAAGATCCTTACAAATCTACAACTGACATGCACATACAGATCCAACAAAATACCTTCATTTCGTCGATTGTGATTGAATTCATTTTGCTACGATTTTGTAACCTGTACCTGTTGAATTCAAATGTCAAATGTTCTAGAAATTCCTTGCCAAACATAAACATTTCCTTGTTTCCTTGTGATAAGTAGTACTTGGGTTTCAATTCACTCTTTTCGGTAGATCTTTATCTACCCACTCCACAATTTTCTCAAACTGACATTTAAAATAAAATGTCTAAAATGACTAATTATGAATAAAAAATGGCAGTATAAGAAAATGTAAGTACTATTATATAATGTTTACTATGAGAAATGGTACTAACTTGGAAACAGAAGTAGCAGCCATTTTCCAAATAGCAATGCTTTATTTAGTGATGCCATAGAACCATCTATGATCGACAGTTGGAAGCTCTGATAACATAGAATGAATAAACGCAGGAATGGAATCTGTTAAGGCATTTACAGAAGAATAAACAAATTTAAACTTTTGTCTACTAGAGCGGACATGATGCAACAAAGGGTTAAGGACCATCAAGAGGGTTTTCGCTAAATTTTAGCTTCTCATTGAACCATTTTAATAATTTTAAATATTTCGACTCAGAATTAGAAGATGCACAATGCACTGTACGAAATAAATACTTAATAGTACCAAAAGAGGCCAACAATTCCGCTAAACAAAAATACATAATAAAGTTCATTAAGGGGACTCATACACCTTAAAACCCATAAGATGTTCGAATAGGTGACTGTTGCAAGAATTGGGATAACTTACTTATTTTAAAAGCAATTACTACCAACGTTTTACAGCTGACTACATAATATAGCTGCTTTCTGAAATAGTAATCAGAAAGTTTGTGTTGCCACAGATAATTTTATAATTTAATCCGCTTTGTGACAACATTTTTCGTCATGTTTCCAACTTGCGCGCACAGTTTAAAACATTCTGTTTCATAATTTAATTCCATATTTAATATATAGCTTTTATAACATTGGGAAACTACTGTGAACCTAAAATTCTAAAAATTTCAAGTTAAATTTTTATTTTATTTTGAGTTGAGTTTATAAAATGTGTTTTTAAAAAAAATTTGTAATGTTTTCGTCCATAAAATTTTTCAATATTAAAATATTCATCAGATTGTTGGTTCCGTTAGAAAATAGTGCCCATATAAAGAATTCCATCCAATTTCAAGTATGTACCATTACCCATTTTTAAAATATCATGCGCGCAAGGTGGAAACATGGCGAAATACTTTGTCACAAAGAGGATTAAATTACAAAAATATTTGTGGCAACACAAACTTTCTGGTTACTAGTTTCCAAAGCAGCTATATTATGTACTCAGCTGTAAACGGTTGGAAGAAATTGCTTTTAAAATAAATAAAATATTCCAATTCTTGCAACAGTCACATAGTCGAAAATCATGTGGGGTTTAAGGTGTATGAGTCCTCTTAAATAAATATATTAATTTTCAAAATCAAAATACAAATTAATAAACAGAAATATTTATACATTCTTACAGCAGTATTAAACACTTCACTTACCAGTGGGATTTGGAAAAGATGAAAAGGGAGTAGTCCTCTCTTTCCTTGATCCATCCTTTTGGTTCAATAAACCAGCAAAGCTAGATTTAAAAATGAAAAGAAAATATGTTTTAAGATCAGAATACTTAAACAAATGATAAATTGCCCTCGGAGAAAGACCGATTCGTGCATTCGGATTAACAGTATTAATTTAGCTGCGAATAAAATTTATTGAGCGTGTTTAAATAAATATTTACAATCAAGCTGTACATGAAGGCTTAGGATAACAGAGGAAATATAGAAATTTTATCAGACAGATGTGAAACCTATACAAAAAGCCTCTAAAGTATCATTTTCGATCATATTGTCACGCTTCTGTCTTGAACAGAAGACAGGAATTTTGTCCAGGATTTTTATCACGTTATTCATGACGTAAATAGTTGATACAAGTTTACAAATATATTTTTAAAACTGTTCACTGTTGAACTATAACAGATTTTTTGTAAATTGTAATATGTTATATCATCAAGGAACAATAAATTTTGCTTTTTAATGGCAATGATGTATCATATTTTGCAAGTTTTGCAAAATCTTAGGGCGAGGCACAGATTCAGAGGCTGGTTGCAATTTGTTCTAATGTGGTTAATCAACAGAAAGCAAGTATATGTTCCTTATTATCATAAAATGGAATTTCAATGAAAATTAGCTTTCTTTTGAAGATGAGACAACTGTATTTGCTGATGTTTTAAGGAGAGCTTAAAATTTTATGAAATATTCTTGAAAAATTATATGACAAAGTAGGTGGCCAAAATTGTGGACACTTTTGGAAATTTTTATGTTTTCGAACTTTGTATGCTTATAGAAAATGTTACGTTTCGCAAAATGCAAATTTGTATATATCATTTTAAAGAGAATTTATTACAAAACACAAAATACAAAATTCAATTATTTGCAATACAAAAAAAGTTATATGTACTTTAATATAAATAAAAAACACAGTTATGAAGTGGTTTGCAATGTCTAGCTTTCCTGGCCAATCACTGTTCTTGTTCTGAGAACCAATCAAATGTTAGTAACTGCCAGTAGAAACTGACATCATGTTTACACTTGAAACAATTCATTATTTTGCTTTGTTCTGTAAAAGGAGGACCTGTTTCTTATACACTGCAATTACAAGTAGGAATATTTGTAAAAATTTTTAATACATAGTCAAGAAGCAATGACATCAAATAAAAGAGTAGATTGGACACCTAGAAAGAGATGTAATATTATTGTGTTACGAGAAAGTGGTCTTTCCTATGCTGAAGTTGAAAGACAGGTGGGTGGTTCAGTGACTACATCTGGAGTCCGAAAGTTTTGTTTACGATATCAGGAGACAAATTCAATAAAAAAAAAGAAGGAAAAGGCCGAAAAAGGTGCACCACATCTATTGATGACAGAAGAATAAAAAGACTATGTCTCCAAGATAGAAAAATGTCATCAGCGGCCATCAGAAGTGATCTGAATGATGCTGCTGTTTCTGTCAGTTCAAGAACAATCAGGAGAAGATTAACAGATGTTGGACTGAGAGGTAGAATTCCACGAAAAAAGCCTTATCTTAATTTTCAGCAACGAAAAAAAAAAAAAAAAAAGACTACAGTGGGCAAAGGAACACATTAATTGGACAGATGATCAGTGGTCACAAGTTATATTGAATGATAAAACTAAGATCTCGTTATTCGGTAGTGATGGGCGAAAATATGTAAGACGTAGAATAGGAGAAGAGCTACATCCTGACTGCATTCAAGCAACTGTGAAAAACCCAGTTAGTGTTATGATTTGGTCATGCATGTCAGCAGATTGTATTGGTCACCTTGTAAAGTTGCGCGCTTCCAACCTGCACGCAACAAAGTGGTGACTGCTGAAAACTGGAAATTAGACAGAGTCTTGAGAAGGGTTTAAGTCCCTTTTTATTCAACTTTAGAAATTACAAATGCGTGCTTTTGACGCTCACAAACTACGCCGACCCGGCGGTAAAATAAGAAACTAAAAAGAGAGATAATAACAAGCGACTAACTACGAGGCTCTCTAAACGTAACTAACCTCACCGCGTTCTAAAATACCGCTGATAATTCAGCAAACTCTGAATATTATGTTGAAAGATTAACAATTTGCCGAGGCAAGCACACAGGCCGAAACGCGTGGTTCTTCAATTTCTAACTAGCCACCTCCACACTCGTGAAGCAAGAAAGCACACCTTCGACCTCGTTTCCTTTCTATTTAACTCAGAATACTTCCGCTGATAAATTTGAATCCTTGCGCGTTCTACTAAAATTTACATACTCTGGCATTGGCAGTTCCAGTGGAAAGTAAGGCTTAACAGGAAAGATAGTTTAAACTTAAAATAAATGTTAGTTAAAATAAATATAAACCCTACAACCTTCATGTCATCGATGGGACACTGAATGCCTGAAAATAAATTGACACTTTTCGATAACCAAAACTTCTTCCTTCCATCAGAGATCTCTTTCCCAACAATGCTTCGTTTATTTTTCAGCAGGATTCTGCTCCTTGCCACGCGGCCGAAATATCGAAAGAGTGGTTTCGTACAATGAGCATTAAATTGTTGTTATGGCCAGGAAACAGTCCTCATCTCAATCCTATCGAAAATTTGTGACACCGTTTGAAAACTCTTGTCCGAATGAGGCGCCTATCAAATAAAAGGGAACTAATTGAGGCTATAATTGTTTCCTGGCATCATGTAATAACGAAAGAAGAGCTTAAAGCTCTTGTCAGCTGAATGAAACGTCGATGTGAAGCTGTAATAAAAAATAAAGGGTACCCTACTAAGTACTGATAACTCACTGCAATTATCACTATCTAATGTATATCGATAACTATTATCGTGTAACATTTTTTGTATTGCAAATAATTGAATTTTGTGTTTTGTATTGATTTCAGTAATAAATTCTATTTAGAATGATATATACAAGTTTGCATTTTGTGAAACGTAACGTTTTCTATAAGCATACAAAGTTCAAAAACATAAAAACTTCCAAAAGTGTCCACAAATTTGGCCACCACTGTATACATTTAGATCTCTTCATGCAAATTATGTACGTGCAAGGAAACAAATGAAGTGCAATAAATAGTTTAAAGCACTGGCATCTTGCCATGTGTATTTTGACTGCAATATGCCGCAGTGCTGAGTGCGGTGCTTTATTTGTTTATTGAATGGCGCGTATAAAGCAAGTTCATTAAGATTAAAAATCAGATGAAACTTCGCTTTGAAAATCGCCTTTAGCATAGATGTCAAAATGTAGTTGAAGGATATTAAGAGATACTACGAAGAAAGAGGAAACTTTCTGTTAAGATAGGTATAGTTTAAAAGTGATTATATAAAAAGGTAACCAATGCTGCTGATAAAATAATAATAAACTCGCTCACAAATAAATTAAATTTGTTATGTACGATGGTTGGAACTTTTACAGTAGCAATTAATCATTTATGATTGAAACAAAAATCCTACCACTGCGAAACTATTCTTCCTTTGATGCAGACCTCGCATTACCCACGTCATTGCCAACAGGATGATTACATACATCCTGTTGGCAATGACGTGGAAGTTGAAATACAGTTGTAGCAATGCTTGTTCTGTTGATTGCCTTAATAATCCCCGGAAGAGTTGAGAAGTAATTTCTTATATTCAGGAATCAAATCATAGTCACAGGAACTTAAATCTGGGAAATATAGTGAATAATAAGGAATCTCTCAGCTCTATCGAGAAAATAAATCAGCTACAGGTGTGCATTCAAACATTGTCTTACAAACTCATATCCCTCATCGATCCACCTTGAAATGATGGAGATGATCAGGGGGCAAAGGCTTCGACCGGTTGTAAGGATCTTAAATTTTACTAACGTTTATTTTATTTTAAATCTTTACTATCACTTCTTATTTTCTACTTCCGGCCAGAATTAAAAGCTTTAACTTATTTATGCAAATTTGTCTGGCGAACGCCAAGTACTTAAGTTGTGGCTTTTTGCCAAGCAAGAGAGAGGAAGGAGTTAGTAGAAGCAGGCCGCTTGCCTTAGCAGTTTTACTCGGTTGCTGGTTGCCTTCCAGGCCAGAGGTTTAATCCTCTTGATAATTTTAAACGTATTGTAGTGTTAACAGTTCTCTGTACTACATACGGCTTCCTGTTAATATACGGCCAATCTTCCACGTAGGCCCTCGTTTGTTATTCCAAAGTTAAGTTAGAGTTTAGTTAATATTTTTTATATTCTTACGTTCAGGCCACAAGTGGTTGGTCTCTGTATTCCGAAGTCCGGAAATTATTGTAAAGAGTGAAAAATAAAGGGTTTCGTATACCCTTCCTGTGTATCTTGTCTACTTCCCACATTTATTGAACATAGCTTTAGTAAGCTCCCTGTTCCGAGTCAGGTCTTTGCATGTTCCCAAAGCAAGTAAGGTGGAACACTGAACCTGATACGGTTAGTAGATGAAGCACACCGAAATTGCTCTTTCGTTCTCTGCACACGGTGGGAACATTAGTTTATGGTGGACTGATGTTGCTGTTATGATTATCTAACTTCCATTCCTGCCATTTCCGTCCAGCGAGTGGTGAACAGCAACAACGTTCTGACTCCGACTATGTGATTGTTGTTTGACGTACCATATACCTAATCTGCAGGGTGTCCCATTAAGATTGTCAAAACTCTGTACAGCGATATTCCTCGCTTCGGATACTTAAAAAATACTCAAAGAACTGTACTTGTAGATACACAATTTTGAGATAAATGCGAAAGAAAAATATGACGTCATATCCATCACATCGCCTGGACGTGGTTGGCTGGATATGGAATGCCCATATTGCTGGACTGGACGTGGCGATTCGGTTTTATACCTGCCACGATTGCCATATCTAATATATTTGCAGTTTTTCCTGGTTGGGACATCTGAAGGAATTGGTCCAAAGCTAGTTACCATAGAAAGTAACTTAGTTGCTCGTTTTTATATGCTGTGTGTATAGCAGACACCACGCTGTTGCAACGTGTGCACTCAGCCATTCCACGAGGCATGCAAACTCCGATATACGCGGTAAAATGTTTCAAATCTTCCT